CATTTTTCTAAGACGAAAAGCAATGGATTATTGTTTAAAAAGATTGTCATACCCTAAGCTCCTTTACCCCGAATGCTTTCTATGCTTCCCTGAATGAAATTTCACAGTTGCCATGTAGAAGCACAGGCCGCAAAAGAGAATCTGGGCCAGCTGCTCCTGCCAGCTATTGTTCTCGCCATACATAATGCACTTAGCTGTGTCCTTTGCACTCACTTTAACATCTTTTCACAGTACTTACCCAAATCCCTCCCAAGGAGATGTCATAATGTGGCTTATGAATGTGTTGTCACAGTGAAACATATTGTGGATTAGGTATAGCTTGTATAATATTTCAAGATATCCTACTGCCTATGTAATTTTGACAGATTGGTGAGCACTCAAAAAAGTAGAGAGACCATGATTAGGAAACTGAAAGAACTAAGAGAATTAGGAAAAATAAGAGAATAGCCCTGGCCGGTGGCTCAGTTGATTAGAGTGTTAGAGTGTCATCCTGTGCACCAAAGGTTTCTGGTTTTAACTCCATGTTTGTATCAGCATGTACAAGAGGCAACTGATTGCTCTCTCTCTCTCTCTCTCTCTCTCTCTCTCTCTCTCTCTCTCTCTCTCTCTCTGTCTCTCTCTCTCTCTGTCTCTCTCTCTCTTTCTCTCTCTCTCTCTCTCACCAATAGAAAACATATTCTGGGATGAGGATTTTTAAAAATAAGAGAATACATAAAACATCAGGAGAAACACTAAATTATCATAGCTGTAGAAAAGCTGAGAGCTAAAAGGAAAAATATATGAGCTACAAAATGAGATCAGTTACAAGAGAAACTTTAAAAGGAAAGTTAATTTATTGAAAAATTGTATCACTTGATTTTCTTCCATTACATGCTTTAGCTTATAAATGGGTTAGCTAATATTCCACAGGGAATGTCCTGTGTCTATGTGTGTGTTTTTAAGCCAAAAATGGAACACTAACATATTGAGCATTTATAGTTTAACTTCACTTATCTTTTTAAAAGAACATTTTGACATTATCTGCATGAGATTTATGAATTTTGAATAAGTTTGTGCAAGATTTTGTCCAAAGCCTTTTGGTCCCCCAAAGGACATTACTACAAAGCAGAATTTATGGGCTGTGGTGTTTCTTTTTAAAGCCAAGGGGAGAGTTAGTTCTAAAGTGAATAAAATTTCAGACAAGGAGCATTTGTATTTTAGTTTTATTTTATTTCTGCACTTAAATTATTGGCAAGATTTCATAGTGGGCATAGACCATTTTAGCAATATATAAAAATATTTTTTATCATACTGAAGAATTGTACTTTTAACAGACTATCGGTGCTATGTGCTATAAACCTTGAAAAATGTCAGTCACAGAAAAAACAAGAAGACATAAAGGTTTAAAATTAAGTGTTACACTTTGAAGAAACATAGCAAACTTTCTTTCCTCCTTTCTTCTTTCTTCTTCTTTTTTTATTTTTACCTTTCTTCTTATCAACAAGTCATAAACTTTTCTTGGAATGCAGCAAATTAAAGACATTTGTGTAAGGTCTTAAATATTATCTATTCTGTGCTTAATGCCTTTTAAAACTATTGTTTTTGCTATCATCATAACAAAAACTACCCCACATCACAAACTGCTTTGATACATTTGACAATTCTCAGTTTTCTTTGTGTCTAAATATTGACCTGCATCTGATAAAGTACTAAAAACTAGAAACATGAATGTCTCATCAGATGAGAGCATATTAAATTTGATACTATTGCATTTCTGACCATGATGTATGTTTAAAAATGTCTTTAATGTAGTACAAAGAAGGCCTTAATTTGATAGACTTTTCAAATATAGGTATATATTTGTTTTTGTGACTATTAGGCTCTACTTTATGGTGTCTTGTTATTTATCATTAATTCCTCTTATTTGAATATACAAGATAAAGCTAAAAGGCCAAATACTTTAATTGTCCTGTGTGTAGGTGAGGATGTTGTTTGGATTTTGGATCTGAGTGAAAGAGCATTAAGATAATCCACAAGGTGAAATAAAAGTTTGGGTCCCTCCTGACCTTTCTGAATATTCTCCAGCTTCTAATAGACTCTATTTCAGGGAAGTTTCTATTGATTGCTTTCCCTTTCAATAAGCCACACCTTTTCTGTCAATTTTTTTCAAAACCGGACATTTGAACTTAATAATGTGGTAACTCTGGGAATCAAATTATTTTCCTACCACAGGATTTGCTAGGTTTGGTTATTGTTGTTTGTTTGTTCTTTGTTTGTTTTTATTGTTGCAGGCTGTGTCTGTATTGAGGTTCAGCTTGATGAATAAACTTAAGGTCTTCTCCAGTCTATTCTGAGCCTTCCTCTGGGTGTGCACTATCACTTTTAAGTTTTCCCTTTATTCATAGTTGTTTGTGAGTGTTCTACTTGTTCATATCCGGCTTCTAAAAGGGGGAAATGAGAAAAGTAAACAGAGAAGCAATAAAAAGGGTGATGCCTCTTTTTATATTTTTAAATGGATTTTTATTGACTTTAGAAAGAGAGAGAGAGAAACTTCAATTGGCTGCCTGCTGCATATCCCCTTCTGGAGATCAAGCCTGCAACCTGGGCATGCACCTGACCTGCAATGGGACCAGCAACCTTTCAGTGCATAGTATGATGCCCAGCCATCGCAGCCACACTTGCCAGGGCAGAAGAATACTGGCTCTTTAAATCCCTTGGAATTCAAGCTTTGCGCAGTGGCAGTATCGTAGCCAATGAGGTGTATCGGAGGCGCGATTATTGCTAAATCCCTTGGAATTCAGTCAGCCAGAGGGGACGAGGCTTGCAATCATGTTGGGGAGGAGCAACAAGGACTGCCTGTCTTTCTGTGTGCCTCTGTGATCAAAAGCACCAATCAGTGATCAGTTCACATGCTTAGCTGCTTGTCACATGGTGCAGGGGTGAAGGTTAGGTAGCTACACTGTGCTAAGAACTGAAATTGACTAAAATTAATCACAATTTACGGTCTGAGCCTTCCCTGGAAAGTTGAAAGCCTTTAATATAGTCCAGAGTTCCAAAATAGCAATCTTAGAGCAGCAATTTCCAACCTTCATCATCTCATGGCACACATAAACTAATTACTAAAATTCTGTGGCACACCAAGAAACATATCTTTTGCCACTCTGAAAAAGTATATATATAGCCGAAACCGGTTTGGCTGAATGGTAGAGCGTCGGTCTGCGGACTGAAAGGCCCCAGGTCGATTCGGTCAAGGGCATGTACATTGGTTGCGGGCACGTCCCCGGTAGGGGCTGTGCAAGATGAAGCTGGTCGATGTTTCTCTCTCATCGACGTTTCTAGCTCTCTATCTCTTTCCCTCCCTCTCTGTAAAAAATCAATAAAATATATATTTTTAAAAGTGTATATATATATATATATATATATATATATATATATATAGTTTTAATTCATTCACACCAGATGACTGTTGTTGTATTGACTATTGTCATTATTTTTAATTTAACAATCTAAGGGAAAAGAAGTCAACTGTCTCTGACTAAATAGTCAGGTCTTGAATGTTTTAAAATTTATTGTGGTACATCAGTGCCTGCCTTGGCACACTGTTTGACAATCACTGTCTTGGACAGATTCTACCAGTGAAACTGTTATCTAGGTGAGGAGACAGATTCCTGATACTTTACTGCCATCTTCTCAGAATTCTCTCAGTAAATTTTATATATATATATATATAATTACTCTTTACATTTTACATTCTTTCACTAATTGATTTCTTTTAGGTAAGGGAAAACTTTAAGGTTTTGATCTTTATTTGACTTGGAAAAAGATTACTGAACAACAATAAGGTTCTCAAGCAGAGAAAACAAACAATAACAACATAAAGGGAGGGTGAAAAAATTGAGGAGGTCAAATTTCTTTGATTTATCTAGAATTCTGTTATGTAGCATTCACCACACATTCTGATAGGAAATCATATTTTTGTATTAAATTTTTTTAAAAATTAATAAATTGGTGCTTATTAAATGAGATTTAATAGACCAAAAAATCATTAAAATACAGAGGCACATGGTGAAAATAACCGACATAAATTGGTAATGAAATTATTAGGAATCACTGTTCTAAAACTTCTATGACTTTTAATGAATTTTCTCAGTCAAAAATACCAATTTTATTTTGCACTAAGAGACAGTTATCTGCTGCACATAATTTAAGATCTCCTCTGCATGCCTGGGTAGTCATCAAAGATTATAGAATTTTAGAACAAGATAATATTTTACAGATTACTTTTGTTTGGTTGATTGACTTTAAGTTTGAAAGTTATTACTTTAGAAATTCAGAAATACCTCTCTGAAAATGAATAGTATGGTGGAAAGCATCTCAGTAAAAGTCAGAGAACTTGTATTGGTCTGTGGCATAGTGGGATATTTTTATATGTTGTGTGTTCCCTTTAGATAGTGGTAAAACTATTTGAGGGCCATTTAGCTCACACCTGTTATATTTTTAAAGAGCATTGCAGTTTAAAACAGATTTTGAAAATTATCCTCTGAACTCATGCAGACGTTCTTAAAAAGCCTTGGTAGCCCACAAAGAAAAGATGTCTAACACTCTTCAATTTGAAATTTCCAAAATAAAATTAGAGAGGAGCTTTTGAAAAGTAATCTATTTTCCCATAGGTAAAAGTGCCAGTGGTTTAATGAGGAAAATCAAAGTTAAGGTTATTATATAGTTAGAGTTTTAGATTTTCTGCAGTACTTTTAGGACAAAGGCTATTGATCTTGCTTATTGAACTATAAATTATAACGTAATTATAAATATATTTTTAATCACTAATAGTATGAATATTTTTATTGTCCAAATAAAGAGCATCTACCTTCTAAAATGGGTGTTATGAAAAAGAAAAGTTGCACAGGAAGTTAAAAAAAAATTCAACAGTACTTTACTTAAAATATAAATATTCCTTCTAATGAAAATTCAAACTTATGAGTGCACACATGGATGTCCTGACAGCTGTGCTGTTCTCTTAGCTTCCACAGATGACAGTGCAGCCGAGAAGAAAGGGGGAAGCCTGCATGCTGGCCTCATTGTCGGAATCCTCATCCTGGTCCTCATTATAGCAGCAGCCATCCTTGTGGCCGTCTACATGTATCATCACCCAACATCAACAGCCAGCATCTTCTTTATTGAGGTAAGTTGCAAGTATAACACATACAACCATACTAATTCACAAACTCTCTCCATTTGCTAACATCACATGCATTTAATATTTTGCACATTATTTCTCCATTTTGCAGTTGGAAGCTGGCTGATTTCACACACACACACACACACACACACACACACACACACACATTGATAGATTGCTCTCATGTGATGAGTTCAGTTACTTCATCTCAAGAGCTTTTAAAGAAATAACCTATTTTGCTTTTTCATAGATCTAAAGGAAAATGGAAACCATACTTTTTTGTCCTTTTATTCCTAATGTGTTAACCAGCTATTCTCCTGATTCTAGAATGAAATGCAGCATAAGCTGGAGGCTAAAGAGCTTTCCTAAAATCAGTTAATCAATAAATGCTAATTAAGTTCTGGCTGCATGCAAGTTACTATATGGTGGGCCTGCTCTCAAAATGCTCACCAACTATTCAGGAAAAATAATAGATTTCTATTATAACAGATAAAACAGTAATATAATGGTATGAGCCATCACAATTTGTGTAATGATGTTTATCTTTATATTTATACTAGTGGCCCAGTGCACGAATTTGTGTACATTGAAAGAAAATTAATTAGAAGAAACATTTTTAAAATCGCTATTTGTCCTTTCTCTATAAGAGAAGTGTCAACCAAATTCATAATCAATAATGACACAAGCATGCGATTGGTGCTAGTGAAAACTTTATATGTATTGCACATGCACGAGTCAACTTAGCCTTTTATAGATACGGAATAAACTTGCTTAATTAGACCTGATTTAGCTTATTTTTTTCCAGCCCAGTGAAGCACCCCAACTTCTGTTTCAGGTAATTGTAAGCAACACAGCAGTAAATATCAACATGAAGCAGATTATTATTGTAGATCACACAGGAAGAACAGAGAGTAAAATACTTAACTGCAGCAGTGTTTGACTATATTCTGCTCAGTGAAAAAACCTGAGTCACTTTCAAGGTCCACCATTTCTTACTTCTTTTCAGGGGGGTCAAGTTTCTAAGCTTTCTCAATCTCCATTTTCTGGCTAATGAAAAGAAAATAGGATTCCACCAAGTCTCTTATCTACCTAGTCCAGGACTTCTATGAGGATTAAATGAGATGAGGAATATAGAAATGCTTCACAGACATTTGGTTAAAGTGTAAAATGTTTCCACCTGGCTATAAAGCAAGTTGTGTTCCTGGGCTAAAGAAACTGCAAGGAGGCTAGTTGCTAGGGAGAGGAAACTGAGTATTGCTACATGATGTCATTACCCAGACTTACACTTAGCATATTAGCCTTTTATATACACAGATTAGAGGCCCGGTGCACAAAATTCATGTATGAGTGAGTTCCCTAGGCCTGATGATAGAAGCGTAAGCATCTGGCTTTGAAGGACAGATCCCAGCTGACTTCTGGGTCCTGGGCAGTACCTGGGTCACTGCATACACCCTCAACTTGAGTCACTGCACCTGAGTCCCCAAGTGGAGATGGGCCTCTGAGCTGCCCAGCAGTGCCACACAGAAGCTGGGTGGGCAGCATGCTCTTTCCCAGCCAGCCTTGCAGACTGGCTTCTGCATGAACTCATGGGGAGCCTAGGTTACCCAGAAGAGGCCATGCGGGTACGGGGTGGGCTCCTTGTAGGGCCTGGCACCTGAACACAGGAGCTTCCCTGGCGTGTGAACCCTGAGCATCCCGGGGCAGGGTAGCAGGGTGAAAGCAAGCTCAGCAGACTCCCCACATTCTCACCACACCTCTGTTCCCATCACCCCCAACCCTAGGTAGCCGCTGAGAGGTAACAGCGCATCGACAAGGCCCACCATGTTCTGTGCCACCCCCTGGTGGTCAGTGCACATCATAGCGAGTGGTGGAAATACTGGTCAAGGGGATACTTTGCATATTAGGCTTTTATTATATAGCATATAAATGTACTCTTTCGCATGCGAGCACGCGCACACACACACACACACATACACACACACAGATTCATACAAACACATACAAAAAGCACCATAGTGAATCAGTGTTGTGTTCCTATGCATAAAATATAGATTTGGAGCCAGTGCCCTGGATTAATCAGGTAAAGGAATATGGTCTGAATATAACCAAACCCTGATGACCAGAGACCTGAACTGGGAAGCCTGGAGGCCACGGGATAAAGTAAGGGTGACCCAGCCACCTTCTATCTCTCAGAAGAGTGGGCTTCCTGTGCCCCCTCTATGTCAGCTTTTATTCCAACATCTTAATAAGCTCACTGCTCTTCCAACAGCAAAGAGAGACTAGAGCAACAAAGGAAACCTTTCCCTTCAGAGTTTCAAACATGTAAAGTTTAAATACTTTCCAATTCATGGGTTGATAATTAGAAAGGCTTAGAATTTTTGTTCACTTGTTGAATAAGAAGTTACAATTCCTTTTGAAATATAAAGTCAAAATTACTTTTGTCTCCTTTATAAAAGAGAGGTGTGTGAAAGACAATGACATAATTGCTCGCTACATGGCTCTCTACTGTCTGTAGAATCAAGTGCAGCTTCTTTAGGTCAGTATTCAAGGCCTTGGAAAGCTGAATCTTGTTCATTTTTTCAATCTGTAACCCAGGGCTCCCCAATTTAAAGTTGGGAGATCCATCAGCTTTCACTCTTTGCTCTTCTCCATGCACACCCCAAATTTTCCTTGCCTCTGCCGAGGCATTGCTTATTCTATTTCCTCTATCAAGAAAGCTCCCAACTTCCACCTCAGTTCTTTAATTTAAGATCCAAACAGCCTCCAATGCCATGCACCCTATATGCTTCCTGGATCATTTCTCTTTCTGGACAGCTGGGCATAATCTATTTATCCTCTGAGATTCTGTCCATTGTAATATAATTATATCTTTCTTTTGCATTTTTTTTTCTGTTCTGTATTAAAGTTAAGTATGCACATGATTTATTGTACCCTACAGACTTCTAAGTTCTGTGGGATCTGGAGTAAATCATTTAAGTTTCTTTCAAATAATGGGTATTCCATTAATATTCCTGGGGGAAATATATTCAAGCATTTTGAGATTCCACTAAAAATTTACATATGACATATTCTAGAAATGGCATCTTATTTAAAATCATAAGAATGGAGAAATTATCAGGCACTGCACTTAGTTGGAAAGCTGTGAAGTGTTGTTAATACCCTGGATTTTCACAGAAGGAAGTAGAAAGCTTCCCGGAGGTCATGAATGCATGCCGCAGAGAGCTGACAAGTGACAAGCTGTAAAGCTTCAGCAACTAACCAGACAACAGGCTGTTGCTGCCTCCCCTCTGATGTTAAAGCCTTTTAATACACTGTGCAGGGGATTTTCTGACATCGTAAAAAGGAAGATACTGTGAACTATCTGATAGTGATGGTATGAGTGGAAAATTGCACAGTGCAAAAGATCTACTTTACACACGTATGAATAAAAAATGAGACCACAGAATAGTGAAAGTATTTTTCTGGTATTTATTTGCCTTTTTCAATCTGTCTTATTGTTTCATAATCAGAGCCTATATGTCCATGTGTAGGTGTGAATACTTACACATGCGTGTATTTATAGAATGCTTAGAGCTAGAAGGACAAAAAAGAGGACTTTGGTCCTCTTCCCTCATAACCCAGAAGAAGAGACCAAGGCTTTGAGTGGCGGAAGACTTTCTCAAGTTCAATGAGCCATCGCTCTGGGGAGAACTGGTCTTCTCTTTCCACACTCAAGTGAAACTGAGTCATTCTGCAGGTTCCCAGCTTTTCCTCTCTTGGCCTTTTTTCCTTCCAACTGAGTCAGCTATCAGTGTCTATGTAAATCATTACCTCTCTGACCCCTGCTGTCCTCATGAAGCTCACAGTGGGTGCTCAGTGGATGATTTTGAAGGTGATAATTATAACTTTACTAATATTCAAGCTGACCCATATTTGCAAAATGAAATACAGATTCATGATGACTGCATAGTTAGTGGAAGAACAAACCTATGAATTTGGAGGCTTTTAATAACCAATTATTTTTAATATATTTTTGTTGACTTCAGAGAAGGAGGGAGAGGGAGAGAGAGTTAGAAACATCAATGATGAGAGAGAATAATTGATCAGATGCCTCTTGCATGCCCTACACTGAGACTTGAGCCCACAACTCATTACCTCCTGGTTCATGGCTCAATGCTCAACCACTGAGCCACCCTGGTCAGGCTAAAATACCAATTAAATTAGTTATTGATACATAAAGAGATGGAATGCACCAATATTGTGTAAATTTTTTTATCCCATATTATACATCTAAATTTTAAATAAAATTGACATACTTTTTTGCATTATGAAAACACCTGTTCAGTATGGAAAATTTGTAGAAATGTAAAAAGAAAAAAAAAGAGTCATTGACAATTCCAACATGCAAGAACAGTCACTATTAATATTTTAAATTGTTTTCTTTTGGAGTTCTTATATGCATAATTTAAGATTTGCCCACTTAATAAAACTGGGATTTCACTGAAATGCAACTTGACATTCTTTTCTTAAATAACATTTTCCTGTTTTATTCTTTGTAAACATCTTTATAATGGCTGTATACTATTTCATTCAGCATTCGTTCAGTAGCTCTGCATTGATTGCCTTTTATGCTAAGTGACAATTCAGAAAGCACATTGCTTATTAGGTAAAAAAGAAGCTTATTGCAGCCAATTTAAGATGAGTATTAGTTTCCTGTTGCTGCTAGTAGCTTAAAGCAGCACACAGTGATTGTCTTACAGCTCTGGAAGTCAGAGTCTCCAACAAGTCTCACCGAGTTAAAGCAGAGGTGTTCCAGGGCTTCAGGCTTCAGCTGCTAGTGCAGTGGTTCTCAACCTTTCCAATGCCACGACCCTTTAATACAGTTCCTCATGTGGTGGTGAACCCCAACCATAAAATTATTTTTGTTGCTACTTCATAACTGTAGTTTTGCTACTGTTTTGAATCGTAATGTAAATATCTGTGTTTTCCCATGGTCTTGGGAGACCCTGCTAGCAGTTCTCAAC